TCTAGGAAGTTGTTCCTAGAAGGAATAAATTCTATCAATCTTGGAGCAGAAAATGACTTCTTAGTGCAAATAAAGCATTAGTCAGAAAAGGAAAGAGGGAGAGTTAAACTCTATCATACTCTATATCTCTGCTCGGTTCTTCAAAAGACACTATTAATAAAGTAGGAAGGAAAGCTGAAAACTGGATGTAGAAAAAACCAAAAATTCAGGAAAATAGAACCAAAATATGACAACAAAAACAAACCTTTGTCATCTTGCCAATATGTTGAATATTTTGAATATAGAGAGAGGCTCAGCAAACTTTAACTGTCATTTTTTATTACTGACTTATCAAAAAGTCATCTTCCAAGAGACTATAAGTCTCTTCAATCTATTCTAAGATGTCTATCAAAATTCTCCAGAAAAAAAAAATCTCTCCTCTGAATTCTTACATATTTAAAGAAGTGTGTCTCCTAACTCCCCTCATTTATTGTTGAATAGATCAAAGTTATAGAAAGGAAGGCAAGTATTCTGTGGAATGTATGCTATTAGACCATATCATTTAAATGTAATTTTATGATTGACTGATATAGTAAGTTGTAAGCTCTAGGTAGATTTGAACGCCATAGTGATTTTTAATGTTAAGGAATCTTGTTCCCCGTTGATGTGGGATACACTTAGCCTGGAAATGCATCTTGGCCTGGAATTAATGTTTTAAGTGTTAAGTGTGTGTGTGTGTGTGTGTAGCTTTTGCAAGTGTCCAACTTGGACAGTATTTACTTATTTAAGTTAATAAAACATTGGGATAATGGTTATCTACTTATTTAAGTTAATAAAACATTGGGATAATGGTTATCTCAAAAATGATACCTGAATAAGTGGAGATGCTGGGAACAGACGAGGCCGGTGTGGGCAGGCACCAGATCATAAAGAGCCCAGGAATCTGCTAAAGAAACAAATTGTATGCTAGCTGAAATTAAAAGTCATTGAGGACTTAATAAAAAGATATTCCTTAAAAAATTAAAAAGATTGGAGGAGACACCTCACAAATGAAGGTACTGAATGGCAAGAATGCATATGCGATGACACTCACCTCCCTAGTGACCACAGAAATAAAGTTACTTGCACGGGGAGATACACTAAAGGCAATAATACCAGGTGTTGACAAGTATACAGAAGCAGCAGTCACTGCTGGGGTAAGGGTAAAACAGAACAAGGGTCCTGAAAACTACTCCATGGGTTTCTATCCTTCCATAATGGCCTAGCAATTCCACCCTATGGTGTTGACCCAAGTGAAGTACACATCTTCATGAAGACTCATACGCAAATATTTGAGATCGATACTTAGGGGATGCAACCACAGCACAAAACCAGACATAACCCACCCGTCGATCAACAGGTGAATGAATAAATATGCTAGAAGAAGGCAATACCACAAAATGCTTCTCAGCAATTAGAAGGCACCGCTAATACATGTTTTGACATTTACTACCTCTTGAGTAAATCTAAAACTTTCTGCTGAGTAAAAATATCCTCATACAAATTACACCCACTGCACGATTCCACTTGCATGAAGTTCTAGAACAGATAATATTGCACTGGGTAAATACACGCATCGAGTGATGGAGTGGCAGAAAGCCTACTTGTGGCTCCCTGGTTTTCACTGAGGTCCACTGAGGTAAAGATGGCCTGAAAGGGGGAATGTTCTGTGCCTTCCATTCTGGTGGTGCTCTGTCAGGCCGATGCGCTGTCACCGGTCCTCAGGCTCCTCAGAGTCTGCCCTCAGTGAGTAGACCCCATTGTAAAGGCTGTCCCTTACTTGGAATCCTACCTCAACAGTGTGCATCTAAGTCACTGTTTTAAATTCCAAGTACAGGACCTAGGTCAGAGCTCAGAGGAGACTTAGGCCTTCCTAAGGAAGCGCCTTCCGGAAGAAGGGGAAAGTTACAGCCCCCGGGAGGGAAAAAACCTGGAGATGTTCTACTCAAGAAAGGCCAGGCGGTGCAAGGGGTGCGGGTCTTCTAGCTCCAGGCTCCGGGTCCAGGGGGGAGCGGAGGGCATGCTAACCATGTACTTCACAAGCTTCAAACCATCTCCCACCCTGGCTCTCACCAGACCGCTGCGGGAGAAGGGGGCCACCCTGCCCTAGGCCCGGCCGGCCGAGCCCCGCCCAGCACCCTTCCCCAGGCCAAACAGGGCTCTAGGCCTGGGGCATCCCGGGCACCCCGCCTCTGACCCCCCTCCACCCTCGCCCCCCCACCTCGGCCCCCTCCCGCGCCCCTCTACCCTGGCCCCCCTCTTGACTCGGGGTCCCTCTCCCTCCTCCTGCCTGTGCCCTCTGCTCTCCAGGACAGGCGACCTGGCCCAGGGGTGCCCCGGCCCTGCGCCCGCTACCATGGGGCCGGCCCAAAGGGCTTGGGGCGCGGGCTCGGTGGGCTTGGGGGCGCAAGGTCCGGGGGACTTGGGGGCGCAGGCTCGGGG